TTTTAATGACCTGTTCTATCTCAAAATTTTTGATGTTAAGAGTTGATGATTTAGGAGGTTGTGTGCCTGTGTGTGTGCGTGTGTGCAGGTGCATGCAGATCACAGAGCGGTATCAGTGTGAGTTTCTTGTGGTTGGTAGGCTTTGGTTTCATCGGGTCTGCAGTGCTCTGACTGACGGTTCTACACAGTGCTCTGGCGTACAGCCTCCAAGCTGGGTCATTTTAGGTAACTTATTCCATGTTTCTGCACCTCAGTCTCCCGCCTCTTGCTGCTGCTTTCATATTGGAGCTTAGCTTCGACTAATTCTCTTCCCTGCCCTTCCTGGAGCGGCAGTACCAGTTTCTTCTGTCCTTGGACAGCGGTGCCCCAGGATCTCCAGCACGGGTTCCCCAGACTTCCACAGCGACATCCTGGTTCTACAGCTTCTGGACTTGCTTCCTTGGTTCTGCAGCTTATCGACAACCGACTGCGGGACCTCCGAACTCTGCAGTGGAGGTAAGTCAGTCTCTCCAGTAAACCTTCTCTCACATCTCCATCTTAACAGTGTCTTCTGGAGGATCATCAGTGGGCTAGTACTTGCATTCTGGAGTTGAAAAGTGCACTTCACTTTCCCAATTTGTATACTAGTCACTCTGAATACAATCCTTTTATGACCACCCATTAATGTTTTAATAAAAATTACAAAATCAACATCCAGAACAAAAACTCGCTTGTTGATTATAAAGCCAGGGTATGGTGGCTCATATCTGTAATCCCAGCATTTGGAAGGCCGAAGCAGGAAGATCATTCCAAGTGTGAGACTAGTGAACAATGGAGCCAGACTCCTTGGATCCAGACCCTGGCCCTATCATTTCCTAGCAATATAATCCAAGGGGATAACCTTTCTGTGCCCCAGTTTCTGTACCCACTAAATGGGAAAGAGAAACAAGGGTGAGCTCTAAGAATTAGAGGAATAAAGCTTCCTGAATCTCAGCATTTGAAAAGGGCTTGACTGTGAACAGTTCGCTCCAGCGCTTGTTCTCATAATAAGTAATTATTTATAGCTGGGTGGAATCTCATAGCTTTCATAGCGCTCAGGAGGCTAAAGTATGTTTGAAGCCATCCTATGCTATACAGTGAGTTTTGGTCAAGCCCAAACTAACAGCTCTTTTGAATATCATTTCTCCGACAGCAGCTTATGTTATGTGGGGAGATCATCAGTTATCAACAGCACAGAAACAACACGGCATAAAAAGAAGAATAATCATTTAACTTCATAAATTCAGTGAATCAGTCTAGAGTTCACAGCATAAAGTCCCTCAGTCCTGGGACTCCACTGTTAAGTCCTTTAGCACCCTACAAAATCCTGACCCTTACTAAGATACTCCACAGTTCAGATATGCTGGTTTTCTTTGATGCCGGGAGCTTGATCTAGAGCAAGCTAAGCATGCATTCTATGCTGTCTCCAATGGTTGGCTCATCTGGTAAGTCTTTACCAATTTATGCCACCCTCAGCAGTCTACTGCGTTCTCATCTCCAAGGTCTGTGTTCATGTTCCCAGCGCAGGGTGCCTCTCTAATTCCTGTCTGTCTGCCTAACCCACCCATGTCCCCTGAATTCTGCTATGGTTTTCCGGACAGCTTATTATCCTAACTGATCACTGGGATAAGCTCCCTAAGTACAGTGGCCAAGTTCTTCCTACTGCCTTTAGTGTCCTGCCTGGTATGACCTTTGCCCTCAGGAAAAGAGAAGCTTGGAGACAGTTTGGACTTGCTGCTTTGGACTGCCCTCAAAAAAGGTAAACACAGTTACAGCCTGTAGAGAGCACATGCTGCCTCAGACAAGGGCACAACCCTAGGAAAAGGTGGCAATACAGGGACACTCAACCCATATTGAAACAGAAATGGTCAAATGATGGCTGGCGGGTGGACAGTTCTTAGTATTTTATCATAGGACACATGGAGGCATTAGGTTGAACCATATGGAACATCTTCCCACGAGAGTGGCAGTTTCCCCTCAGTCTGAAGTGTTATGAACTTCCCTCCTTCCCACTTGGGAACATGTACCATGAGGAAGGCATTTTGACTACTTCATTCTCTGTTCTTCGCTAGTGCTTGGAACACAGTGGCTCCAACAATCCCTTGTTGAATGGATAGGTATATTAAGCATCAGTTGCTGTACACTTGTCTATGTGATTTATATTCCTTAGCCTATTTGTTTTCTCCCAACATTCTGGTTACTGCCATTTGACAGATAAGAGAACTTTTGCTTAGTGAGCCTTGTCCAGTATGTGTGTGTGTGTTGTATTGTGTATGTATGTATGTATGTGCATGTATGGGAACATTGCTTATACATGTATGTACATATGTATAAAAGGGCATAGGATTTTTTCTCATTCATTCCCCATTCTATTTTCTGAGGAAGGGTCTCTTGCTGAACTTATAGAACCCCAGCTGACTCCCTTCCCATTCAGCTAGTCTAGCTTGCTTTTCCTGGGAATTAGGTCCAAACTGAACTCCAATTTCCCAAACCCTAAGAGGAAGTCCAAATCTCCAGAAATGAGCTCAACTAGATAATAGGAGGATTTCTGGTGGTTAAATAAAAGCCAGCATCCCCAGGAACTTGTGAAATTAGTTTCCATCTACCAAAAGGATTCTTTTCCCTTACCTCCGCTGAAGGAGAGTATGGCCACCTGGGGAGCCTATTAGTGTATCAGAGCTCCTGCTGGCCCCTGGCTCCCTTAGTAGCAAAGTACCCATTATACATTTCAAAGTCCACATGAGCACCTGCCCTCCCTCCTCACCTCCTCCTCTGCCCTAAACTTCCTTCAGCTAACGGGCTTCCCTACCCATCTACTCCTTCCCTTACAGCCCTGCTGTTATCCATGTTTGTTCTTTCTCTGCTCCTGTTTCTCTCTTCTCTACCCCCTGCTAGTCACTCTCTTGCAGATAGCCCTGGCCATGTCCAGTCTGCTGGCCACGTTCAGTCTACATCGTTCTCTGCTCCGGACTCTTCCAGATGCCTCTGGCTATTCTCTCTCTCATATCTACGATAAAAGCCTTTCCCTTAACCGTGCCATGGAGTAGTCTTGTCTTCAGTTTATAGACTGAGGGTCTGTATCTTTGCTTCCTATGTGCTGGGATTACAGGCAGGCTGCTATGTTTGCCCATTTTTCCATGGGCTCTGGAGACCGGGTTCAGGTCCTCATATGTGCATGGAAAACACTTCACCCATGACTCATCCCCCCCCCCCGAGTCCCAAGACAACATTTTTTAAAGACAAGGTCTCATCAGGTAGCCTTTGCCAGTCTGTGTTGAAGAGAGTAAGCCAGAAGCCATATAAATCTGCCTGCTTCTGCCTCCTGAGTGCTGGGATTAAAGGAATAGCCACCACAACAGGCTGAGGCCAAACTCACAGTATTTTATATGAGACCATTTATATTATGCTGGAAAATGTTCAAATTCTGGCTATCTTTCCTTACTCAATTACTCCATGCATAGAATCTACTAGAAATGATGACAGAAATTTTAGAATACCAGAAAATGAGGAGGATGGGAATGGAAGGAATAAAGAGAGAGAAGTATCAAGAGTGAGAATCCAGTTATTCATGGATGAATTGGTATCTAAGAATAAACTCAGACTAGGCACACATTTAGTACACAATACATATGAAGGCAACACACACACTTTTCAAATGTAGCTCAACACTTCAGGTCTCTTGGGTTGCCTGAGACCCATCTCTCACTAATGGTGCCCAGGAACAGAGTGGCCTAAGGATGGGTTCTGTCTGCAGCCTACAGGAGAGCCTTGTTGGTACCATCAGACTCTCTCAGACATAAGAGACTATCCCTTCCTTCCTTTCCATTTCTTCTGGGGATTAAATTGGGGGCTGCATAAAAAATTATGTTGCTTTTAAGTATTTTCTGTAATGTATCCATAGTGATACAGTGTCCCAAAGAATAAGTTAACTTGTATTTAAATGAATGGCCTTTCAGCAAAGATATGTGTTCTGTCTTTTGGAAGAGGAACAGGGGTCCTGGTGATACTGGGTGTCTAGATACTGGGGGTCTCGAGGCCCAAGCAGGTTTGCCCAATTGTGGTTGGCTACAATTTCTACTCTTGCTGAAGAGATAGCCTGAAGTAGAAATAATCCTTCCTGTAAGCCTAAACAAATCAGTTCACTCTGTTGGAGATGTACTCTAAGGCAGGTCCAATACAAGTTTTTTCTAAAAGTTAAATGAAGATAAATAAACGAATAACTTCTCAAACTCCTTCAGGTAAAGTAAAACCTCAACTAGATTTAAAGTCATCTAAGTGGTGATTCTCTGGAGATCTGTAAGACATTCTGAAACACAGAGGGGTAAAAAAAAAAAAAAAAAAGCATATTCCTTTCTAACAACTGTAGCCCAACTTTGGAAGTAATCAGCAACAAACCAGAAAGGCACATTACAAAAAGGCACAGACACCAGAGAGCTCGGTGTCCATGGTCACATATTGGCCATTGGCTTTTGTGAGAAAATTAACTTTGTGTCCTGATTTATAGAGGAATGGTCATCACCCTCATGGATGCAGAACACAGTAGAAAGCACGGTTCAAAGCAGACAATTAAACAGCAAGTTATCTATATGAATGGACAGCCACAGCTTTCTTCATTTGATGATAGTCTAGTCCATTGGCAACTAGGGATCTTTTACTAAGAATCAAAGAAACCATTTCCTCCTGATGAAGTTCCTTCAGTCCAGACCCTGGAAACACTTAGGGCTGAACTGGATTTGAAGGAGTGGCTAGGTGCCACTTTAGTCCTGGACAGCACAGCTCAAGCATGGTCAGAGAGATAACCAGTTCTGTGACAACCAGTCATTTGCTGAGTAGCACATTCTCTCCTTCTCTCTGTCTCAGAGCTCAAGGTGCCTAGAGAGCAAGACAGCCGGCAGGCAGTCCTTGCTAGGTTGGTAAGAAATGCAAGCCCTGCTCCCCATGCCGGTCTAGGATAAAGGATGAAGAACAGGCTGGATTCTCACCGGTCTGGAGCTTTCAATTTCAGGCAGGTGTTTAGCATCCACATTGCTGTCTTCCTCACTGCTGACAGGTTCTGTGTCAGCCAGCTGTGGGACAGTAAAGGGAAAATATAAAGATGTTATTCTTCATTCACGCTGTCTTAGACCACATACTCTGCCCATCTGTGGGTGTAGTGTTTCTGATGCTACAGGGGACACTGTTTCTAAGGAAGCCAGTCTGCCATCTTCCTTTGGTCCATTTGCTTTATTAGGCATCGATTCTTGCTGGTCCCTGCTCTCTGTCACAGGCACATGCCTGGCTGTCTCAGTCAGTTCCCTTCTTTTTGTCAACAACTTATTAGGAATGGGAACCTGGACAACGGATTTTGCTAGTTCTGTTAAGGAGACTAAAAGAGGAGTGTTGGAGGCTTGCTGTTAGTTCTTTGTTCCTCTTTTGCTTTTTTTTCCCTTGTATTTTATTACTTATCTAGATGTTTATGACCACACACTCAGTTTTTACAAGTCAAGAAACACTGAAAAATTATTCCTCCCACAGAATTGGGAGCAATATGTTCCTAGACAGCGTAAGTCACTAAGACACACAACCAGTTTATCAATTATATAGTAAAAGAAATGAGTGACTATTCAAACATTAAGTTTTTAAAAAATATTTATTTATTCATCCATCTATCTATCTATCTATCTATCTATCTATCTATCTATCTATCTATCTATCTATCTATCTGAGGATGTAGATCTGCACACCAGAAAACAGCATCAGAAAGTTGTGAGATGCCATGGGGTTCTGGGAATGGAGCTCAGGCCCTTCAGAAGAGCAACGATTGCTCCAAACCACTGAGCCATCTCTCCAGCCCTCAAGGATTAAGTCACACAGCTGAAAAGGCATATGAAATCAGATGTCTGCTCAATTTGTTAGCAGAAGTAATTAATCCCTAGCATTCGCCTGGTGGAAAGAAAGAACCAGCTCTGGAGTTCAACTGTCTCCTGACACCTCCTCCCCCCAATAAATACATGCACTAACAAGTGAAGGAATTTTCATACTTATGATGAGTAAGGGTTGATTTAGCTTTGATCTATATCTCTACCTTTCTAAGAGGCATAGCTACTTCTTTTGTAAGACACAGCCAACATTTTACTGGAAAATTTAACAGCCTGCTCACAGTCTATTTTTAGGCTGCAGTTGGACCTCAAGAGTATAAACATTAAATTAATTGTTAACCCCCCTCCCCCCTGTCTAGAGACTCTAAAGTTATGGGCTTTTTGTAGCAATAGCAATTTTCTTTTAAAAAATTCTTTCACTGGTCCAGGCAGTGGTGGTTCATGGCTTTACTCCCAGCCCTCAGGAGACAGAGGCAGGCAGATTGAGTTCGAGGCCAGTCTGGTCTACGAGTTCCAGGACAGCTGGGTTACACAGAAAAATCTTGTCTTGAAGAGCAAAAAAACAACACAACGAAAAAAAAATTCTTTTATTGTTCGACAGTTTTATACATTTATATATTACATATCAGTTGTTTTTCACCCCTGGTTTCTCTCTATCTCCCTCCCACTAAGCCCTTCTTCTCAGTAGTCCCCCTGCTACTCTCTGTCTTTGTGTGACCTTTTTTCAATGAGAGTTTCTTGCTTCAGCACAGATGGGAGGTTATTCACTGCAGCAAGAGCAACAATGACACTGTTCTTTTCTTGTCTTTTCTTTTTGAGACAGGGTTTCTCTGTGTAGTCCTGGCTGTCCTGCACTTGATTTGTAGACCAGGCTGGCTGGCCTCAAACTCACAGAGATATGCCTGCCTCTCCTCCCTGAGTGCTAGGATTACAGGCGTGTGCCACCATGCCCTTCCGACACTCCCTTTCCTACAGACTGTTAACTGTTGAAAGTCCTTCAGGGAGGGTAGGACCTATGGACCCTTCCCCGACCCCTGACCCACTATGAAACTATGACTGGAGCAATCCTGTGCAGTAATACAGGAACTGCAGGTACAGCGAGCAATTCTCTAAGTGGTGCTCTCCCACAACTGCACAAAGTAAGTTTAGAAACACATCCAACAATCTCCAAAGGACTTGATGAAAACAACAATAATCAACACTTCAGAAAACCTGATATATACCGGTCTGAATGTGGATGATACAAATACAAAGTGAGGTTACAAATAACCATAGAAGTCCTGCAGCACTGGGTGACTAGAGTGTTCTCAGTTTCTATATATATACATACACGTATATATACATATATATGTATATATGTGTGTATATATATATATATATATACAATATATATACTGTACCATACTAAGATATACACATATATATACATATATGTGTGTGTATGTGTGTGTATATATATATATATATATATACACACACTGCAAATGTACTATAAACATACAAGCATTGTATTAAATATTCTGTTGCCCTTCTCAGTAAAAGGAACTTTTAGTCACCTGTTTCAGTGGTTGTCTGGGAAGCTTACTACCACCTTCAGTTAACCTAGGCCTACTCTTGGAAGATTTTAGCCTCCGTGCAATCTAACCTAGACCTAGAATTTCAGCCTCTGAGACTTACTGCAAAATAAGCTCCCCCTCTGTTGTTCTTACTGAACTCTCACCTGTTTTGGCTCAAACTCCTCTCCCAGCTAACTTATTCAACCTGTCTTTTCTCTCAGCCCCTGAATTGCTCTGCTTGGCCTCAAACTAACTCCAGTAATCTTTTCTAATCTTATAGCTCCTTCTCATTCTCTGACCCATTTGGTCTTCACCTGAGTTCTCTCTTTGCAACCTGCCTATTGCTGTTCCTGGTAAAACTGCCCTTTCTTCTTCTCTCTTCTTCTTCCTCTTTTTCCTCCTCCTCATCCTCTTCTTCCTCCTGCCCCCCACATTGCCATGTAAGTAACTTCTCTTTCCTCTCTCTTCTCATGAGAGTTGCACATATCCTATCTGTCAAACCTTTCTCTGATTCATCACATTTTCTGCCACTTAATTGGGCCTCACTTTCAAACAGGGATGCTTCCTTCTACAAACTAACTTTACCTTCATTGTTAGGGGTTAAAGGCATGTACCACCACCCTTGGACCTAAGCTTTTCTTGACCTAATACTTGCTCTTTACCAGGCTGTCCTTGAGCTCAGATCTTCTTGCCTTTAGCCTCCTAGATTAAAGGTGTCTTTGTATTCCAGCCAGATCACACAGACCTAGGTCTTTGAATATGATCTCTTGCCAGAAAACCAGTGTTCTGAATTAAAATTCCTCTACACTTCTGTCTGTTTCTTGTATGTGGACAAAATCTTGGCATAAGAATGCATAAAGTCAGAGCTCTGTGTCGCAAAGTCACCTGGTTCGAGTGGCACCCAGTACAAGCAACAGGCATTTACTAAACCCTGAGCAGCACCAGTCTCTGGTGAAGCGTCCACACAGGTTCATTATACATACAGAGGTTGTAATTCTGAACACTTATGTCTGGTGGCAGTGCTCTTTTCTCCACGGAGGCTTCATTAGACTCGTTCACCCAGACAACATGTTGTTAATATACATGACAAATTAGGCTCCATGTCAAGTTCTACTTCCAAGTTCCACAGGCACCAGCACTGGGGAACAGCCCTCCCTCCAGACTGTGTTTCTGTGACCAGCAGACTCTTACAAGTGTAGCTGCTTTAGGGTTCTCGCCTATAAACCACAATTGTTTGCCATTAAAAGCTCCACTGTTTGCCTTGTGGGTTGTACTATATTTTCCTATTTCATTCTGCTTTCACTTGATCCTGGGGCCAGTAAAGAGGCTTTCCTGCTTTTAGTGTTGTGGGGTGAACTGCTCCCGAGAAGGAAGAGGCCGAAGAGCGACACCAGCATTGACAGCAGAGTGGTTGGCGGGCTTCGGCTGAGCTGCCAGCCGAAGAAGAGGTAACTGAACAGGTCAAGAGACCAGCCAGGGTGAAACAGAGAAACCGAGGCTGGAAAGGTGAAGGGACAGAGGGCAAAAGGCAGTAAAAGCCAGGGAAGAGAAAATGTCAGCTCTGGCCACTGTAAGAATTTCAGAGCTGTCAAGCCTACATAACAAAAACCTGCCTACAAACAAACAAACAAACAGACAAACAACAAAAAGCCCTTAAAGAAACACATAGAGTCATCTGCCCCAAAGTACTGTTTGAGTAAATGATTTCTGTGCTTACTACATTATACTTCATACTGTTTCATAGAAAGCTTCTCTGTGAGACTGCAGCACTCACGCAGCCAGCCATATTTACTGTCTTTCTAAATTGCTTCACTTCCTCCTCCTCTGTTACTCATTAGCATCTCTTTTGCATCCTAATTACGTATGTGGGGAATCTATCTGATGAAACTGAAAGATCGCTGATGCCAACATCTGTGATTCTTTCATCTGATGCAGGTCTTTAGTCCTCCTGGGCCTGCCTCACTTCAAAGGCCTCCATCTCAGCTGCACTATGTTCACCTTTTAAACATTCTCTTCTGCTTTTAGCTGGACATATGTCCACTGAGGAGGTTATGAAGTCCCAATCCAGATGGAGAGGAGACTCAGGTTAAAAAAAAAAAAAAAAAAAAAAAAGGTGGGGGACTGAGAATTGTTGGAAATGAGGCACTTATATTCTAAGCAAACCATAGTTTATATAAGAGTGCCTGAACAATGCAAGAATGGTATTATAGCTCCACTCAGAACAGAATGGCTCACACGGCAAGGAGCCGTTACAGCACTCCGCTTGCCAAGAGCTTTAAACATGGCAAACAGTCAAAGACAGGAAAGGGAAGGAGGTCAGCAGCATGACTCTAAGGAACAAGGATCCCTGGTGGCTTGAGGACCATCTGGCTGAAGGAAGGTGGCTGCTGAGAAAATGAGTCCGTCAATCCTGGGGGCAGGTGTCCACTTCTCTCTTGCTGATCTTCAAACCGCCTGTTCAATGTGGCTGGCTCGGCCAAGCCTGCTCACAACAACTCCCCTAGAAGACCTAAGTCAGGACGGCAGATGAGGAAATGGCAAAAGCATCAACATAGCACCACCCAAAGATGGTAAAGATGGTGTGTGTGCGCATGTCCCCTACTAAGGACAATTGTCCTACACCTTCTAAAGTTCCAAACTTCCACTCCTTTGCTCAACTCTCTGGGAATCTCCCAAATAAGGTGATGGCTGTTTTGTTTTGTTTTTTTTTTTTTTTTTCATTTATTTTAGTTAAAAAAAAAAAGTTTTTAACTAAAAGAATAAAATAAAATAAGATAAAATAAAATAAAATGGGGCCACACTGGGCTGGGACCAGGTCAGAGAGGCGACAACCACTTGCAAAGGAAAAATAACTTTTCTACAATGGAGTCTAACTGGGGATATAAACTGCACTCCAGGGCAGGCCCCATGCCCGGCAGTAGGTGGCTGACACAAAATGAACTCAATGGTGATTTTGTAGATTTTTTTTTTTTTGATCTCACTGGTCTTTTGCTTGAAATTATAGGTTTTGATTTTGTTTTGTTTTGTTGTGTTTCTTCTGCTCTTTTACTATTATCTATCCATCTATCTATTTATCTAGTGCTTTTTTATTTGCTTTTTTTAAATTTTTTTATTTGTTTGTTTTCTAGAGAAAGAAGCCCTGGCGTTGGATGAGTGGGCAGGATCTGGGTAGAGGTGGGGAAGGGGAAACTATATATCACAATACAGTGTATGAATTTTTAATGGTTAAAAATAAGTTGTGGCCAGGCATGATGTAATCCCAGCACTCATGGAGGCAAAAGCAGGTGGGTTTCTGTGAATTCAAGGCCAGCCTGGTCTACAAAGTGAGTCCAGGACAGCCAGGGCTACACAGAGAAACCCTGTCTCAGGAAAAAAAAAAAAGTGTGAGTGTGTGTGTGCACAAGCATGCACACAGATGGGGAAGCATGAAACCTGGAGCTCAGCAGCTGGCTAGAGAGGCTGGCCAGCACCGGGGTGACCGCCACACTCCCGCCACAGTGTTCACACCCGTGCTGAAGAGCCGAACCCAGGTCCTCATGCGTGTGCAGCAGGCACGTCACTGAGTCACTCTCCAGAGTCTCACTGCATAGCCCAGGCTGTCCTTGGGTTTACAGTCCTCACTGCACCTCCTGAGTGCTGGACAAGGTCACAGACAAGGACTATCACACCTTGCTTGCTATTTTATTTTTATGTTACCGTGTTTTCTCAGATATACAGTTTAACCACTGTTTCTTACCAACTGGACAGAAAGACCCTTGATGGCAGAAACGTTGCTTTATGCGAGTGCAGAGCATCAGTCGTGCTAACGAGGCTCTGGTGGTTTGGGAAGACACCGACCAGATGGACACTGGTGTTCTTCCTCCCCTTTCCTCATCCAACAAGACAAGAATACATCGACAGAAATAATTGTTGTCCTCTAATCTGAGATGCCACTAAGCAACATCACATTTTAAAAGCGTCACCAACATGCCTCTCAGTGTAACGAAAGCCTGTTTGATTTTCAAATAAGATCTCACTATGTAGCACTGACTGGCTTGCTGGCCTCCTACTCGCAGAGATCCGCCTCCCTCTGCCTCCTGAGTGCTGAGATTAAAGACATGTGCTACCACACCCAGCTTAAGTGTCTTTTAAAAATAAGGTTCATGTTTGTTGTTTTAGACTGTGTTACCTCTGTGTTCCTAAATCCAATACATTTTTCAAATCGCAATGTGGGGTCTTTTAACTCTCATTCCAACGGAAGTTCACAAATATTTCTTTTTGAAGAAAAAAAAAATCCTGTTTACTAGATTTGACAAACTGAATTTCTCCTAATGCTATCATAAACATCTTTTTAAAAAATAACATTTCTCAAAGAGAACATGAGCTGCCACAGCCGCCAGAAGGACAGTGTTACAGCAGTTAGTTAACAGGGCCGCCTCCCCTCCCCATCCAACCAACCTAAGTCTTCATTTTCCACAGTAGTGAGTTTTCTAGATACAGCTGTAGATACTGCCAAGTACTGGGAGGAAACTACACTCAGAGGTCATCCTGAGACACTGTTCTGATACTAATTTCTGTCCGTTTGAAATACTTAAGTTGGCCGGTGTACCATCTTCTTTTGAGTGTTAAAAAACAACAACAACAAAACGGAGCTTATTAAATATTTGCCAAATAAGGGAAGGAACGTGAGACATCACCAGCACACAATAAAAGCCAGGCTGAATTACTGTCAGGTTCAACTTACCAATGGCATTGCTGCACTTAATGTTTAGTGTATGGTTTAAACAGGTTCTTCTTGTCATCTTACTTATAAATTATGTGTGAACATGCAAAGAAACACCTATATAACGGCAGAGTAATGGCATGTACACAGCAGTGAAGAAAGAGCTCACAGACTTCATCCCACAGGAGGGCACCTTTCCATAGAAGACAGTGAATAGAAGACGCAGCAATCCAGAGAATGTAATTTACATGACAACACTGTAACAGAAACTGCAGAGCTGCATTCTTAAAACCCAAACCAAACCAAACCAAAACACCCTCAAGACCCAGCTATACCATTTCTGGGCATATACCCAAAAGATGCTTCACCATATAACAAGGACACTTGCACAACTGGAAATAACCCAGATGTTCCTCAACTGAAGAATGGATAAAGAAATTGTGGTACATGTACACAATGGAATACTATTCAGCTTTTATTTATTATTTATACAAGATTCTGCCTGCATACGTGCCTGCTTGACAGAAGAGGGTACCAGACCAGATCTCATTATAGATGGTTGTGAGCCACCACGTGGTTGCCAGAAACTGAACTCAGGACCTTTGGAAGAGCAGCCAGTGCTCTTAACCTCTGAGCCATCTCTCCAGTCCCTACTGAGTAGGTCTATACATGGTTGCTTTCCACTCCAGGACAAGCACATGGGCTTGGTGGTCCCCACCAGGCATGCACAAGGGCTGATGCTGACTGGCATACCTGCTCATGGGCTCATGGTCTGTGTCTCTTCTCGAGGTTGAAAAGAACAACTCTGCCTCAGTCTGGATACAAGGGCCATGAAAGTATACTGGAAGTACCTAGACAGGACCCTATAGCTAGCAGCACCCTCAATCATTAGTCACATGCAGCCCCTTGAGCAGGAAGCTGCAGATACCAGCTGGCCAGGGACACACTAAAGAAGGCATGTGGTTGAGTCACTGCCATTCCCAACAGAGTAAAACAGATGGAGGCAAGGTGCTTTTATACAGCTTGGTACGATCTGTGGTCTCAGTCATCTCAGAATATATCCTGCACATATGTTATTTAATCTTAGCAATGAGGCAGAAGCTGTTGTCATTATTCTGCAAAAAGCTAGAATGGGGGGCAAAGGATGATTGCAAGTGTAATTCTCTAAGGCTCCATGGCTCACATACAGCCGCAGAATCTGGCCTGGAAGTATGGCTGTGGGGCAGGCCCTCTGCCAGCATGTCTTCTATCTACTTCAAGTCTTTTGTCTCTATAGTCTCTTGGCGCAAGGCACTGAACCCAAGGCATGGTGCATACCAGAGACTCTACTGCTACATCTTCAGACCCTTTGTGGTCTTAAATTTAAGAAGCCAAACAGAACTTGCCAGGCAGTGGTAGCATACACTTTAGTCCTAGCACTCAGGAGGAAGAGGCAAGTGGATTAGCTTGGCCTACAGAATGTCTCAGGGTAGCCAGGGCTACACAGAGAAACACTGTCTTGAAAAAAACAAAAAACAAACAAGACAAAAACACACAAACAAAAAAAACAACCCCCACCACAAACCCCTTGGTGTTGGCAAGACTGCTGAAATCAGGATGATTGAAATGATATTTCTTGCTACAAAGTTTTAATTTGTAGCTTATTTGACAATTACTGTTCAAAACAGATGGAAATTACAGCTGGAACAGCTTGTGATTCAATGTTGATTGATCCTGACTGGACTCGGAGATAGGTGTGAGGCTCTTTCTAGAGACAGCTGACCCATGGAATGGAACCTGAGGGGAAAGTCAGCAGCAGCATCCACGAGGCTGAGTGCCCAGAAGGAAGAGGGACAAGGAGACGGCAGTGGCTAGCGCCACTCTCCCTGACAAGTGTCTACCACTGCCGCGGTGTGCCGAGGACATCAGAGTCCAGCTGCTTCTGTCTTTCAATGCAGACTCACACCAACAATTCCCAAAGGACTTCCCCAAGTCCCTCAGTCATGGCCTGGGACTACACTGCAGTCCCCGTTGCTCTGAGGCTTCCAGCTTTGTGGACTGCGCAGCTGCAGGGCTCTCTGGATTTTGATATGTAAATGGCCATTGCTAGGTCATTCACGAGATCTGAGGAACTCCCTAACTCTGAGGAGGGAACAGTAGTGAGCTGATTCTGATACATTCATTTAACACTGTTTCACACCTTATAAGCATACCTCAAATGCTTTCTATCTTAGGCAGGGTATTTGCTAGTTAACAGAGATTACATGACTAAAAACCAAAACATAAGGTCTTACGGAAGTGGCAAAAACTTCGTTGAGAACTACTTCTGAACAACCTTACCTCCACGGGCGATGGGGAGTTGGATGGTACCGGGAAGGGACCAACAGCCATCTGACCGACTGCATCTTCATTTCTGTGAAATAGCCAACCAGGGAGAATCAATACTTGAGAAGGTTAAGTTCGTGACTCAAATTACAAGTACTTCCTTAGTTCTCAGCTCAAAACTTGCACACAGCACACAGTACCAGAGAATTAAACGTCTACACGGAGAGATCAAGCATGCAACGCTATTACACAAAGATAGATGTCACACTTCAGAGGTACCTGGGTACAGTTATTAGTGACACTGAATGATGAGGTCAGCAGTTAGGAAATACAGCTGAGAATGTCTGATGCTGCTAAAGATAACTTTGGAAAGGCACCGACATTTTTGGCCTTGTGGAATGTCAAATTTTCAAATGGCTGTCCACAGTCTCTAGGTTCTACTCAGGTCTACAGTGTTGTGACCTGAACTAGAAACATTCCCAGCCTCCTCACTTGGCTTCAGACTTTGCTTTGCCAATGAAAGATGTTAGGATATCTGTAACAGGCCTTACATGGCAGACTGTGAGAAGGAGCGATGGATGGAGAGAGCAGAGCTCCGGAAAGACCATGCTTGTGGTTATGTGAATGCTGCTTGCCATCTTGAATGAGCAGCATGGGGAGGAGCTGGGATCTAATCAGCAGGAGAAAAGGCACACAGCCATCCTAAAGTATCAGTTCTGATCATCTGTCTCATTTCCACCGTGTTACCAGTAGACAGCAGGCAGTGCTTTTTAGGTGATCACAACTGTCCTACACTACCACGCAGGGACAATTTAACTACAGTCAGATTTACTTACGTGAAATCTTATCTTTCACAAACAAAAGCATGAAACTCATAAAGATGACTTGGGCGCTAGCACTAAGAAGGGGGAAAATAAACCTAAGACCTCATATGTCTTTGTACATAGAAAGGTTACTTACCCGAGCTGGCAGCTGGGTAACAAGTCCATTGGTCCATGTCATTCCTGCTCTAGACCTCAGCCATGCCCCCCCTTCCCTGACAGGCTTGTCTTCATTCAATTTATGAACACCCCTCTATACTCCTCCAGTATGTTTTAATAACCTCAATGAGACAACTGGCTCCTCTAACAGGGGCCACATTTATGTCTTCTGACTCAGGTCTTCTCTAGAGCTCACCACCTGCACATTTGACTCCTCACTTTAAGGCTGACATCTTCTACTACATGTCTGACAAGCTTCTTGAGAAAAACAGAACTCATTGATCCACTCAGCCTCCAGATTGTTCTACAGCCGATTTTTCTCACCGGGGTGCTCAGGAAGACTTGCCCTCTTGTTCAGCCAGGAACTGGGAGTCTTTTAAATTTGTTCTGCTAGTCACAATTTTACACATATGTAACACACTTTGATTATATCCCACCTCCCATGATTCTCTCGTCCCTTTTCCTACCACTGACCCTGTTCTTCCCTGGAAGTCCCTCTCCTGCTTTCATGGTTACCTGTATGTGTGTCCAGCGGTATTTAATTAGGGTCAGTTGCATGAGTACGGGTGGGGAGCTAAGAGTCTTTCTAGAAAAAACTCATTTCTTAATGGTATTTCCAGTCCATGAGACTCTTGTGACTCCATGTTCAAAATGTATGTTAATGTACCTTAAATCTCTTCACTGCTTCCCAGCCTACCCTATGTGCTGGCCATCACCATTTCTCACCCAACCAAGAAAAGCTTGTGTTTGACTCCCTATGTTTCTCAGCATCTTCACACAGCACGGTCACTGTGGTCCTAACAGACAAATCTGACTATATTCATCATCACCCTGCCTCCTCTGTCATCATCTTTTTCTGTTTTGACACTGAGTTTCATGTAGCCCAAGCTGGCTTCAAATTTCCAACATAGAAGATGATGACTACCAACTTCTGACTTTTCCACCTAGTGTGATTATACTTCTATTCTGGCTTTAAATAATCCTACAGCTTCTTGTTGCATTGAGGAAACAGTCTACTGAGTTACTCGTGGGAGAAACCCATCTCTAGCCATGTGGTTTTGGGTTTTTGTTTCTGGACTGTTAATGGAAGCAGAGACTGAACTATCAGAATCCTAAGCTGGTGAAAATTCTTTGGGAGGTGGGGCAGAGTATAAAGAAATGGAGGGGCTGGTAAAGTGCTTGCTTGCCACACAAGCATGAGGACCTGAGTTCGGATCCCCAGCATCCAAGGAAAAACTCAGTGCAAGGCTACTAGCATTGGAAATATGGCTGTACATATATTTTGAGGTCATGATTAGTTGTCTCAGGGCATCCATTTAAAATTTAATGATTTTCCACAAGTTATTATGACTTCAATGCCATTTAAAATCCACTTTTTTAAAAAGCTCACATAGTAGAAAACTTTCAATTACTTTTAATGGGCAGTAAAAGTTACAGTTCACAGTCTTTTACAATCCACTTCATAACGTGACATTGTTCACCAAGTCACATCGAGTTGTGGAGGGTGTCACAGCAGTGATTTCAATGAGGAAAGACACAGGAGAAGGAAAACAGAAGAAACCAACTGACACACAAACAAGCAACGGGCTAGGTGACTTCTGTGTAGACGCCAAGCCCTCAACACCAGGCCCTCAACTGTCTAAGTCTCCTAAAGACTCAGGTATGTTTGCTTTATAATCAAGCTTTTAAACAACAGTGAAGGGTTCCTAGGCACCCATATGAGATACAGCCTCGAGTTGCAGTTGTTTGTATTTTTTAGAATTATCTTAAGCACTCACTGCTAGAGCCAGTGAAGCCCCAATATGGAGGGAGAATTATTCCAGGGTCCATATCCCTGTGTGTACTGTAGTGATCCCAATCCTTGGGAGCCATGTTTGAAGATCCCCATTGGATGCCTGAAACCAAAGTAATGGAACCTACCTCTATTCAATGTTCACATACGCACATACACGGTCTAGTTTCCTTTCTGTCGCTGTGATAAAAATACTTTGACCAAAAGAAATTTAGGGGAGGAAGGGATTTTTTCAGCTTGTACTTCCAGGACACAGTCCGTCACCAAGGGAAGTCAGAGCAGGCACTCACACAGGAACTTGAAGCAGAAACCATGGAGAAAATGCCATTTGTTGGCTCATGCTTAGCTAGCTTTCTTACAAAGCTCAGAACTTATCCAGGGGTGGTGCTTGCCACAGTGGCCCAGGTCTTCCTCCATCAGTTAACAACTTAAACAATCCCCCGTCAGGCCAGTCTGATCTTGGAAACACCTTGGCTGAAAATCCCTTCTGAGATCACTCTATGCTGTGTCAAGCTGATAGTTAAAGGTACGTAGGATTTAGACTAGGATGGTTTATGTATCAGACACAGGGAGAAATTAACACAGTCACATAAGACAATGGCAACAAGATACATAGCAGGCCACCCGGCAAGAGCACACTATGCTATCCTCTGAATGAGTGCCCTGAGAAAGCAGGAAACAGAAGGCAGTGTGATCAAGCTAAATCCTGTGCTTTCCAAACTGCTTCCATGAGTTAATGACAGTATTCTGCCCGCGCCCCGCCAGGGACAGGCACTTCCCATGCTAAGGACAGTTCTTGCTGTATGTCCAGCTCATAGGCAGCACCTAGGCGTTATCTACAGTAGATAACACAGGCAGCCAGCCTCCAGACGAGTGGATGGAGCACACAGGTACCTTAGTTTGGAGCAGATACACAGAGCTCAGTAGTGTGTCGTCAAGACATGACCTAAGGGAACCCTCCAGTAAAATAGAGGTCTCAGGAACTCCCCTATGCTGACATCTCTAGAGATGGCTGAGTGTCTTCTCTTCAGAAGTCTTAGTGGTTCCTTCTGACAATCAATGAGATGTTCCTGTAACCTCATAACAGGGTCTCCCGCTTTTTTCATAACAGAGATATGTGAGCATATCCCCAGGCTGGCCTCAGACTCACCAGCTGAGCATGACCCTGAACTTTGGATCCTCGTGCTGCCAACCACCAAGCGTGGAGGGTACAGTCTTCTACCTCTACCACTAGTTTATATGGTACCAGGAATGGAACCCTGGGGCTTGTGCATGCTAGGCAAGTACTTTACCATCCCTGTTTCCTTTTTCAGTTTAAGCTGGTTAGAGTTTAATTGGTTGAGGCTCAGTCATATAGCTCATTTTATTTTGAATATGTACATCTATGTGACACATTTATAATATGAATATGAAAATGAATAAAACATGATTCCTGCCTCGATGATATCAGCAATTAGTGATGAATATAGCAAACAAACAAAATTACAATTGTAAAAATACTATCCTGGGGCTGTCTAGTTTGGTTTTTCTCAATAGGATATTAAGAACACTAGCAATTCGGTCTCTTGTTTGTAGAATATATTTATAGCAAAATACATTTTGGCTCCTGCTTTAAAATTCCACTTCTGGGGCCATGAAGACAACTCAGTACATAAGAGTCCTTGCTTGCTCTGTAAGCATAAGGAACTGAGTTCAAATTCCCAGCACCCGCGCAAAAAAGTTGAGTATAGCTGTGCATGCCTGTAACATTGAGGAACAGGGAATCCCAAGAGCTTACTGGCCAGGCAGCCTAGCCCAGTTGGTAAGCCTCTGGTTCACTGAAGACCTTAGCTTAAGGCCTAGGGTAGAGAACATTACTTTGTGTTAGACTGTGGGGCACCCAAGCCTCGATAACTCCTGATTTTCACCCTGTGAGACTCCTGAGAAGAAAACCTACCTACTATACCAGACCTACAGAACCATATGCCAACAAGAATATATACAGGACCTCTGCTTGTTGGTGTGTGTGTGTAAATGAACTCAGGGTTCACTGTGTGGCCAGGATGGCCTTGAACTCTAAATCTTTCTGCCTGGGTGCTGGGATAACAGGCTTTGCTGCCAACTTGGAAAACTTGGTCAGCAGAAACAGCATTTGCGTGCTTACTGTCTACCACTTACACCAGCATATCTCCATGTGGTAGCTACAAATTTTTTCAACTCTTTATTTTACACGTAGGTAAAGCCACCTACCAAAGTCACTAAATCACAAGAGCCATGATTCAAAACCCTGGTCTGCTTTCAGGATTTCCCCTCCTAACCACTGCACTAAGTGTTTGC